TAATTCTAAATAACTTAAAGTTGCTAATATTCAATGTTAATCATAATTTATTATCCTTGTAACTCTTATCGTATAAAATCATCTGAATAATTTTAATAGATAATAAACGATCAAACGATAACCATAATATAAAAATCATACTTACTCCAACTTGTAAAGTCATAAAAGTTAATGAAGATAGAAGATCACCCTCAAACGAAATTAACCAAAACTTTAAAAACCAAAGCGAAAAAACAAAAGTTCATGTATTAATATAAGCATCATTTAGTATCTATTATCTTCGGCGAGCTACTCTTAACCACACTTCCAGTATCAGCCAAGCTTCACATGAGAGAAGCATCAGGTGTAGACAACAAATAATCACTCGAAGCTTCTGTTGCACCAGAGTAAATTATCGGAGCCTACATCTTCATATATCTAAATTAATGAACCAGTTAATATATAAATGCAATACTCTGACACACGATACTAAAACTAACCCATGTATGAAATGCCTAATCAAAATTAGAAATTAAGTCATCATCATTTGAGAATCTCTCAACCACATAAAAAGAGGACTTCATAGAAATATGTTTTTCAGTTAAAGAAATCTTGAAAAGCATGTCCTTTCCAATCAAATTCCTAATAGCAAATGGCATCTCCGGATCATCCCCCTAACAAAACAGAAAAGCTTGAGGATCATAAAACATAAAAATATATATAAATCATAAACAAAAGCACCTCCAAATAAATACATACATCATCGACATCCTCATATAACTCCTCTGCCGTTCGGATTAAACAAAATATCAGTCGAGCTAAAAGAGTTGGAGATACTAATTTCACCTACATTTAAAAACAGATTTTAATAAACTCATTCCAATAGGATATTACATATTCAGCTACGCAGGAAAGATTATATTAGACAAACCTTTGTATTCTCTAATGCATGCAAGTCTAATGACACACACAACAACGGTGTCAGCATGTGCAGCTACATAATTAGCCATCGCTGTAGCGTAATCGTCCCATAAAGTGCACATCAAACGAAGATCACTACAGCCACATCATGAAAACAACCACATATAAATAACAATTGAAAAATAGAAAATATACAAACAAATCAAATTACCATACCTTGTATCACGAAGACTAAGTTTAAGCCTCATGCTGATTTTCTCATGGCCCATAACCTGATCAACGGTCCCCAAACTAATGACTTGACTTATGACATCTACAGATATAAATTTGTACTTAATAATCATAAGGATATGTAACCAATATAAATAAATGCTTTCAAATACTTACCAATAAAGTATGACTTATCCAAAACAGTAGACAAAATCACACAGAACATCTTAAAATATTTCTCGTGGATGGTTTTCAGAAAATCATGACAATCACTCAACTCGGTGGTGTCATAAAAACAAATTTTATAAGGATGACGACTTGTCCGATAATCAGTCTTGTACTCAACGACCTTGAATGTATCGACGATGTATACACTACCATAAACCAGCTTATCATGAAATTTTTTGACACGGTTCTTATCAAGAGTAGCATGTATGCGCTTACCCTTGATAATTATTTAGGAGTGTTAATCGAACATATATTTAAGAAGATGCAACACTGTAAAACGACAATAATTTGATCAGAAAAAATCGTAAAAAACTCACATGCGCATCAACGAACACGAAATCCATCATCTTCCCAGCTCTAACCCAAAGCTTGAGTACACAAACCTTTATCTTATAGCGACCATTCTGTGGAGTCAAATCTTTTATGTTAACCAAAGAACCAGACTTTCTCTTGAAAATAGACATTATCCAACCCGAATAACGGCAAGTCTCTTTGTAAATATCAACCTAATAATTTAGGGCTTTCTGTAAGATCTCTTAATCAAAGTGAAATTTTTTGATCGTGTTTCTTTGTATCTTATAGTCAGAGCTGAAAGATATATATATATATATATATATATATATATTCAAATGCCAACGACTCTAAACAATTATGCCATTATCATAAATTATTTTATAGCAAATATTAACCAAAAAGTTAAGTAATTAATTATGAACGATTTTAAGACTTATAGTATATTTCCCAAAACATTGTAAATATATTATATATATCTCAAAGATAGATATATAATATTTTGTAAAAAATTGTTATTAATGGCAAACATGCACACAATAATAATTCTTGAAGTCGTATTGCAAATATCATCCCACCCAAGAAAAGTCTTAGATATCATAGAGTCTTTATCGAATCCAAAATTCCATATGCCAGATTTCATGTTAACATTTACTTTCTCACGATAATACTTATACCCCTAAAATAAATATATAACATTTTAAGAGAAATTATGATAAGGATAAATATTCAAAAAGTAACAATTTCGATAAAGATAAAATTGGAACAAATCTTAATATATATATATATATAACACATGTCACAAGGTATTCTCGAAATCTTGCATGATACAAATATTCTTGAAGTTATGTTGTAAATATCATTCCACCCAAGAAAAGTCTTAAATATCATAGTCTTTATCGAAGCCAAAACTCCATACGCCAGAGTTCATGTTAACATTTATACATTCCAACGTTAATATTTTTACAGTCTCATCAAACTTATGACAAAAAATTCTAACAAACCAATATGATGGGTCTCATCTTTTTCAACCAAACACAATCATATAAGTTGAAAACAGCACATAACCATACTGTATAAATTACGCAGTAAAATGATGATCGACAATGGCATACATAATAAGACAGTAAATTAAAATCTTATATATTAGATACTAAAATAAAAACGCCAGCCACATGCTACATAGTAAAAAACACGTAAACCCAAAACCCAACACCATCATAATATTCGTTAATTTTTAAGAAAAAGTCGCTCGACTAATCCCAAACCAAAACAGACTCCAATAGCTTCAGCAAATGATGAGTATAAAACACCATTAATCGTTCTGATATCTTCGAAGCACGTTGATCCTCTTACAACAGCTAACAATGTTCTGAGGTAATAGAGCTCACCACATTCTGGCTTCACATAGGGAAGTCCTACCACATTTCTCCTAGACCTACAACGACATCGTGGTAGCCATTCCCTGATGTTCCTATGCCAAACAAACCAAATTGGGAATTCAATATATAGAAGATGCCTCGACTCTGGATGGTGTTTGTTGTAGTCCATCCAACTCTGAAACTGAAACCTTTGAAAATAATCTCCAGGACCAGGTGGTGAAAAATCTTCCGAGAAAATGATGTTGTGGTTCCTTGGTAGATGGAAAGGCAAGATAGTCATCCGAGTATCCTTACTGTATAAGACGAAAAAATTAAGATAATTTTATAAATAACAGACAATTTCTTATAACGACTAAATCTACAAAGAAACCAATGTCGCAGACCAACCCAAAACATAAACTGAGATATAACTATAGAGTCAAAAATAGATATATATATATATATATATAACCAAAATGAAAGAAAGACAAAGCAATAAACAGCATCAACAGGAAAAACAACATATTAACAAATCAAAATCAAATTTATAACAAAGCATTAGTTGTAATCAACATATGCTGAATTCAAGTGGGAAACAAGTTTGAGCAGCAATACCTTTTCTACAAACTAAATTCACGACCATCAGCAGCCATAAGCCTGGAAGCTGTATAACCAAAACGAAACGATGAAACCTAATCAACTCTCCCCTTTTGCAAGTTACATGCGACACAACGAAAAAACCAAGAAGACAAAATTAGAACCGTAAGAAACAAAATATACTACATGAAACAAAAACAAAACCCTAAACTATGACCTACACGTCAATATTAAATAAATAAACCTAAGCAGTTGTTTAGATAATGAGACATGTGCGAGTATATATAGCTATTAAAATTCTAGGGTTTTCGTTTTGTAATATAATTTTGAGAGGCAACCGACTTTTTCAAATAGTCTATTGGACATCAATATCAAAAAGCCCAATTAATATATCATCTGAGAACCGATATAAAATTTAAATTAGTATAATCGATTTCTAAATACGAACAAAACCAAATCAATCGATTTAAAATCCAAAAATTTCCACCAAGAGAGCAGAAGGCACATAATCCCTCTAAGAAGCGTTATGATGCGACTTCGTAAATAATATATCAGATTACTAATCCTTTTCTGTCTTTTTAGTTTTTCAAGCAAACAAAATGCTTCATTATTTTTTTCCGGTAGGGAATTTTGTTCTTTTTTACGACAACAGGATTTGATCACAAATTCTTTTTTTTTCCTTCATGTGTAAGACTCCTACAATCCTTTACCTTAGTAGATTCCAATTTTAGGTAACTAAAGAACTCTAGTTTTTTTATGGTCGCAACTATGTTTTCTTTATTTTTTTTTGACAAAAACTGTTAGAGAAATCTTTGTCTATTTTTTGTGTTTTTATTTTATTATTCTGAATTGTAACAATAATGACGATATTTATGTCATAGAGCCTGTTTTTGAGTCTTGTCCCAGGATTTACAAATGTTTAAGCAAGTCCTGAACTCAAGATAATCGAGTCGGTGGAGAGGAAGATGACGAATACGGCTATGATGGTGTGAATTATTAAAAAAAAATTATAATATCAATCGTCATAATATATAATTTTTATGTCATAAATAATACACCCTAAATGGATTTTTTCTTTCTTTTGAATTAACTAAAATGAAACAACCAAGAATCAAACAGAAGGAAACAAGAACAACGCCGAAAAAACAGAGCAACAAAGAGCACAGAAACAGAGAGAAGCGTCAGTTACACATTAAATTATTAATCATGTCGGTTAGTTTTAGATGAAATGTTTACACCTTGCAGAAGAAGAAAAAAACTGATTATCATTCATCTCATAAAATTCATCCTTCTAAGTAATAATAGCTAATTGTTTCACGTTCTGTGACATTAAACGAAAATAGTGGCCAGGAATCTCGACACTGACGGGTTCAAGGCACCAATTGAGAAAATGTGTAAAAAAAGTTCATTGTTTCCAATCTCATTTTAAATGAAAATGTAGTAAGAATAACCCATATAGTCTCTATATACAACAGTGGAGACATCACACCTAACATTGGTGGCTGTACTTTCAAAATTTCGAATATGGATGTGTTCTTTGAACATATAATTTTTCTTTTTTGGGAGTGATTTTTATTTTATATGAAGAATTAACACTTTTTGCCCAAACGTTATAGGGGAAAAAAAAAGTAACAAGAGACGAGAGTTTGGTTGAAAATGCTGGTATGATACAAACGTACCTTTTCAAGAAATCATGAACAATTCCTGGAGCTGCCACTGTTGTTATTATTGATGTCTTCGATCATCATTCCTTTTAAACTCTTTGCTAACCAAATAGCGGTTTCTCTGGGAGAAACTTTGTTCTTACCAAACGGCTGCAACACGATGGCTAGCTCTTCGAGCCTGCTCTGTTCCAGCAAATCCGCAGATAGTTCCAAGAGACCTTCAAGCGCCTCTGCTCTCTGTCTGAAAGACTTGATGTCCAACGTCTCTTTCACAGCTGGAACCGGAGTTGTTTCCTCTTCAGGCACGAATGAGTTTTGTCTGGTCTCAGCTGGTGAAGAATAAGAATCAGAGCATGAGTTAAAGCTCTTGGTTTCAGAGTAGTTAGTGATCGGGTCTGGTTCTTCAGAACGGGTCTCGGGAGGAGGCTCTGATATGACTGATCTCATCGTGGTGGTTGATTCAGAGGGAGTGGCGGTTTTCCTCACTTCAAGCTCATCTCTCACAACGTTTATGAGTTTCCCAACGTCGACGTTCTGTACACCGACTTCAACACATTCCATGACCGGCTGGTCGCTCCCTACTCGGAAACTGCTGTGGCGGATAACATGGATGACATCGTCGACAACCGGGTGAAGATGGGAAGGATTGTTGTTGTTCTTCTCACGAGCTGAGTTCTGAGAGACAACGACTGTTTTATTATCTGAGTGGGAAGGTTCAGCATGCGATGCGGCGGCGGCTCCGGGAACATTGGAAACAAAAGCTTTGACTTTGAATTTATCATCGTCACCGTGTTGTCGTTGCGACGTGTTTGGCTCATAGCTTTGTAATATTGCAGGGCTAGTACAACCATCTTTAGGAGCAGTAGGAGAGCTTTCTTGTAGCTGAACATTGGGAATTTCCAAAAGCCGCATACTGGTGCCGTGTTCTTCTCTGCGGATCATCATCATCTCCGAAGAGGTTTCTGGAAACGAAGACGAGTATTCGCTGTGAGATGATCTCCTGTGGTCATCAGGAATAGTATGCTCTGTCATGTCGATATATGGTGTGGAAGCAGCATCATCACAGAGCTCAAACGCCTGCATTGACAACGAAGAGGAGATAGAGTTGTTGCTGCTTTCACTCTGCAACCCTTTCGAAGATCCGACGGAGGTTCTCTTTGGTTCCCGCGCAATCGCAGTGGAAGAAGCATGGACGCGAGGTTGAGGAGGATTAGTTTCTTGCTCTGACGGTTGAGATGGATATAACTTTAAGGCCACCATGTTTGGAGTATCTCCTCCTAATTGTCTTGATTGCACCGTCAAAGAGGTTCTTCTTGGTAATGTAGGCGGCGTTCTTTGCCTTCGCTTAGCCGACATCGCCTCTTCGACTTCGTGTTTTGTAGCAGGTGCAAGGGGGATTCTATCGTTTCTAGGCTTAAGTTTTTGTGAAGATTCAATCGGTGGAATCTGCAAGATGATAAATACTTAAATCTATTAGTTTTTGCCAATTGGTTGAGTTCTAAGTACATGTAACTTAATAAAACGATCGACTAAACTTGAGGAATGGAGAGAGATGGAGGAGAGAGTACTTGATGGTGATGCTTCGGTGGTATTGATCCTTGAGTTCTTGCGCAATCAGAGGCTAGCTTTGACGGTGTACTTGGGTTAGTCTTGGAGCTATGAGCAATGTCACCGAGTTTCGGAATCTTTGAAGGAGTTTCGATATGATTCTTCTGTTGTGTCGAAACACCAGAAGTTGTTCTCCCTCGATTAGCTCTCATGGGTGAACCATTCTCTCTAGCTTTCTCTTCTTTCAAAACCATCATGATGTTTCTGATAGTTTTCGGGTGCCTCGGTTGAATAATCTCTGGTCGATGTTCACTCTGTGAGGTCTTTAAAATCCCATGGCCATCTGTTTTCGTTGCTAAAACACTATGGACATTTTCATTCTCAAGGATGTCTTCTTCATCGACAGAAACTGAATCTGTCTCCGCGACTTTACTATTACCATTACTTGGTACCACAGGTCGATTGTTATGTTTGTTGTCACTCACGTAGAAGTTATCTCCTCTTTCGCTTGAGCTATTGCTGTTTTGACTTTCAGCCATACTCCTACGACCTTCACGAGAGTTGAGTGGCTTTTCCGGAGTAATCGACGCTGAGGAAATCGCTGGACGGTACTGCTCAACGTACGGCTGCAAATAAGGATGCTTCAAAATCTCCGAGGCCTGAACGGTAAAAGAAGAGGAAGGAATATATGATTAGTTAATTTCACTCCGGAAAGTGAAGTAACTTCAAAGGAGAAAGTTTCCGGGCCTATAAAAGAAGCATACGCTTGGCCGATACTCAGGGTTCTTCCTTAGCATCCCTTTGATGAGTGCTTTTCTGCAATATCAAAACAAACAAAAGTTAGGAAGAGAAGTGTTGGGTATACAACTTTGATATTTGCCAACCACAAAAGGTTAATAAAAGCGTTACACTCGAGTTTTTTGTACGGCTTTCTCTAACCGCTACTTCTTATAGTTTTTCACTATTCTATAACCTCTTACAGCTCTCTCTAACCGCTAAAGCCTTGTATCACTTCCTGTTACCAATGGGACCGTTTTTTAAAGAGGACTTCCAAAACATTTCACGTGCTTAAAGAATCTTAGAATTTATCATTGATCGTCTTAGTCGCTTATTGCAAAATGTTCTTTCTTCTCCAACAAGACTTTGATTAGGAAAAAGAATCTTACAAAGATGGTGAATAGCACGAAGGCAACGGACCAATTGAGGAGCGATTAACCTTGCTGATAAGCCCTGCCATATCCTGAAACAATATGTAAAACAAAAATCAAATGCCATAAGGTACACATAAGTCTATATATAGAACTTTCGCAGTTTTTTCTCTTCTAGAGACAACCATTCTCTGATCATGTACACCAAACCAGGAAACACTTATGGAAAACATTTGGACTATCTAAGTCAAATAAAATAACTTACAAAAGCTTTGAAAGCAGGCCGATACGCAGCCATCTCATATATACAACAGCCTGTTCAACATCATACAGTCTTAAACTCAGTGGCAACAACAAGATTCTTTAAGCATAACAAAGGATAGGGTTATATATATACCTAGAGACCAGATATCTGATTTAAAACCATAAGGGATATCCGCAAGCAGTTCCGGGCACATGTAGTTTGGAGTTCCAACAACCTACATATAAAATGCAATGAGTCATATAAACACCAAAGTCTTTGTCACACTATTATCAGTTCAGAAGCTTTAAGAGCAACACACAAAAAAAAACAATCATTATGAATGCTATTGTGTTCCATCTCAAAACAAATTAGGAGTAACCCATGACAATTTTGGTAAGATAGTATCTCTTTCTAATAAACCACAGCCGGAACCTGCCATGACTAATTCTCTCTCCTAGATCATCTTGACATGAACAAATTACAGACTTTCACAACATACCGAGGAAGTTAGGTCATCGGCCTTCAAAGTTTTGGCCAAACCAAAGTCCCCTGTAGACAACATAATGCAAAACGCATTTCTTTTTTTAGAATACTCTTTTCGCAGGTCAAAATTAAAGTAGAATCACAAAACTAAACTTACCAAGTCTGACATCATCTTTTGTAAGGAAAATGTTGGAACACTGGAAAGAGCAAGCTTCACAAATTAAGTCCATAAGAAAATTAAGTATGACATAGATAATTAAGACAACTGACATTGCCGATTTTGTTTTTATTACCTTTAGATCACGGTGTAGAACATAGTTAGAATGAAGATACTCAACAGCTAACAACAATTGAGTAAACCACTTGCACAGTTTCTTCAAACAAAAAGAAGAAAAATAAAAAGACTAGAATCATGTTTTATTAGAAGAAAGGTTTCAGGTGAAAAGTAGTAACAAAGTACCTCCTCAGGAAAATACACACCGTTTGACTTTTTCATCAACTCAGCCCTGTCAAAAACATTACAGAACCAAAAAGATTTTAAACAAAACTCTTTGACTTCTGTGAAGCTAAACAACAAAAAAAGGACACCTTAACAAGAAAATCGTTTGAGAAAGTAAGTAGAATTAAACTCACATGTCTCCTCCTTCACAGTATCCAGTGACAATACAAACATAGCAACCCTGCATTTTCAAACAATTAAAAAAACAAAATCTACTTGGAAATCAAGAAAATTTAACGTAGACTTACTTTCTCAACCCAAGCTTCTTTAAACTCCACGATGTAAGGATGCTGAACCCTCGCAATTAAAGCCATCTATAGAATTTTAAGTCAGAAACAAATCGTTGGAATCTCGAAAATAGTTTGTTTGAATATTTGAATTTTCACCTCTTGATGAGCAGATCTCCGACAACGTTCTGTTTGCCGAGCTAATCTAATCTTCTTAAGAACATACCTAAAAACACGCCAATTCCAAAATTAATTCCAAAACGGAGAAAAATCGATGGAGAGTTAGAGACATTGGGGAGAAATTAGCAATTACTTCTTCTTCTCAGCCTTGTGATGAACTAGAATGGCGGCGCCAAACGCACCACGGCCGATCTGCTCCATGATCTCGTACTGATCCATCCGTGACTCCATCGCGATTTCAAAATTTCAGCGTTTCACAAATGGCGATTTCGAAAGAGTCGATTCCCTTAAACTTAATCGTAGCAGCACTTTTGTGTTTTCCTGACCTACACGCTTCGTTTTCCCCAGAGATTCGAAACCGCCGATTCAAAATTCAGATCCAGACATTATTTGGATATGAGACTTTGACTGAGAAAACAGAAAATCTTCATGCGCAAAGAATTTAACAAGAAGAATACAAGAAGCTCTCTCTCTCTCTCTCTCTTTCTGGATTCGTCCTCTCGTCTTTTTCTTCTTGTCTGTTTGAAGCTCACTTGCACAGTACGAATCTAGACGGGGAAAAGTGATTACGAGTTGGTTTCTGGATTTGCGAGATTAGGCGAATAGTTAAGTGATTTTTTTTTGTCAACTAGTTAGAGTAATTAACCAACGTGTTCTACAACTAATTAAAATCATTTATTACACAATGAAGATTTATAGGAGGATAAACGGATGAAGTTTAAATGTCAAAAAACCAGAAAGAACAGAAGAAGTTTAAATAAAAATTGTGGATTATAAAGGTGAAACTATTAATATATTTAAACTGAAAAAAAAAAGAAATTTGATCTAAACAATAAAAACAGTTTCAAAAGTACTATATATTTTTCCAAAAATAGGACAAAATATTGAAATCTGTTTACCCCCAAATCTAGTGGTAAGGAGATTTTCAAAAAATATAGGAAAGCTTCCTTAAAGAGGTTATATTTTCGAAATACAAGTCTTCTTGTTTAGATATTATTGAAGTATTTATCAAATTGTAGTTGGAGGTAGGTAATAATTTAAATATTAAATACCATTTTCAGTTGTGATCAATTTAATACTTTTAGAATGAGCGTATAATCAAAAATTTAGAATAAACTAACTAAAAATAATATTGAAATTGATTATTTTTGGTTGAAAAACAAAAAATGCAAGGCAAGAATGGGGTTGGAAAAAAAAATCATTTGTTTTATTTGCAAACATATTGTTTTAACCGTCGAATTGCATTATGTTATTATTTTAGTTGGGTCATAAAACATTTAATGTAAAATAAATAATAAATGTTTTTATTCAGACTTTAAGTGCCGACAAATCCAGCTGTTTTAATGCAAACGATAGCTGCTGGTCTCCTTGTTACTATAATGATTCGATATTATTTTATTAAGTTATGACGTGGCCGGTCCTTGAACGTGCCCGAGTAAAAAACTTACTTTACTTATTTAATTTAAACTAATTTAAAACTTGTATAAAAATGATATATTTTTTGCTCACAATTGAATAAACTGTTATACTGATAATGTAGTAGAGTTTCTTTTATAGATTTACTAATTGGTGATTCACACAGATTTTTAATTATTTTATATATGTATGTTTATTATATTTACAAAATTCTATTATATGATGGAATGATTGTAAGAAAGCATTTTTAAGTAAGTTATTTTTTTTTTAGTAAGTTATTTTTCAATATACAAATAATTAAGTTGAGGAATAACATTTCTTGTTTCTCCCAACACAATACTGAAATATTTTATGAAGTCTCAGAGAAATTTAAAAGCTACACTCTCCAATATGCTCATCATGAATTTAGCAATGAGAGCTTGCTTAATATACTATATATAAACATGCTTTCTAAGTTTAGGATGTTCTTAGATATAGCTTCTAATATAAACTTTCTAAAGAAAGATGTGGAAGAAGGTCTGGAGTTAGTTGAAAACTTGGCGTTATCATATGGTAACGACCATAAGAAGCTCCTCAACTGAAGGAGATAGTGCCACTAAAAAGAAAATCAAAGCCCTACATGAGAAGCTGGACAAGCTCTTAAGTTCTTCCTTTAAAGCTGTGAATTTTGTTGGTGAAGATGGTCAAGTGCAAGAAAAGGATGTTGCTCTTCAAGAGAAAGCTTTCTACATAAACCAAGGAGGTGGTTTCAACAACTTTAGGAACCATCCTAACTTTTCCTACATAAGCACTAATGCAGCCAATCCTCAAGACTAGGCCTATCCTTCATGAAAGAGGGGAGTTTTTGGTATCTTCCAATACATCTCTACACATGTCATTGTAGTATAGAAAGGATATCAATCCAATCCAAGGGCTAAGGACAAATGAGATACAGAGCACTTGCTAAGTGATGTAAACTTGAAAATGGATTCAAATATACTCCCTTGGAATCAAATGCTTAAGGCTTAAATAGTGGATGAATGGCTTGATGATTGCTGGCGAGTTGTATTTGATGAACCCAAACACAAGGGTTAGACTCAAGCTTCTCAAAGGCTAATCTTCACAAGAGAAAGAATGATTCTATACGATTTTAAAGAGCTTTGATTCCACAAATAACTCTTGAAATTCGCAGGAACAATTTGAATGGAAAGAGAGTTTTTCTTTGAAACAAAATAAAAGCTTTTTGATTTTCAATATTCTGAAGTGAAAGTATAATTCTTAGGAGCTTTAAACAGAGCTCAAATAATGTAAATAAAACGGTGATATATCATGGTTTTTAACCATAATATAAGTCTTTTTATTGAGTCTTTTTGGTCTTTTTAGAGTCCTAGTAGAGTCTTCGCAGGTTAAAGCATGTCTGGAGCATAATTGGAAGTTTTTGAGCTTTTTGGAGCATTGCAAGATACAACCCCGAATGAAGCAAGTCAGAAGCGTTGTTCTGGCTTGGGTGACGACCGTCACTGACCTGGTGACGCTCGTCACCCGTAGAGGAAGGATCGTGGCTGGTTTTTAAAAGATTGGGAAGAAATTGCAGTTTTGGCCGAGAAGTTCTAGTATTTGCTAAAAGGCCCCAGATCGTGTTTTAGCTTGTATATATTAGGTTTTCAGCCATTGTTGGCTTTTATCTTGTATCTTATTCTTTTTGAGAGCTTTAGAGAGAGATTTGTAGCAGAGCTTTTGGAGAGACAAATCAGACTCCTTCAGAACAGATTTCGAACTCCTTTATTTCTATTTCTTATTTCTTTTATGCAATCTTTTCTTTTCATGATGTTTGTTTCATTCATCATGTCTGAGTAATTTGCTAGTTAAGTTAGGGCTTTTCAAAGGTTGATGAAGAGTTTCTAGATTTGCTATCAGTTAGGAATATCTTTTGGTTCTTCATCTATGCTTGCTTAAAAACCGATTTCTTAGACACATCATCTGCATTTCGAAACCCTAGGTTGTTTGATAGATGTGAGAGCATTATTAATCACCTGAACTAGTATTAAATGAGCAAAACGCCCTAGTGCAAAGAGATTTGGCTTAGGAGTTTTGTGAACAATTGAACCTGATCATTACTGCATGTTTAGGTTGTTAGGGTTTGCAAAGAGATTTGAAACTCTGTGATTTATGCATAGTTAACTTCTGTAATGAGAATTTATTAGTTTTATCTTTGCGATTCATGTTCAAGACGGTTTTAATTCATTCCTGATTGCATGCATTCTACACTCTCGGATTCAACCTGCGAATGGTCCAGACTTAGCGCCTTTAGCTTTCTGAACTTTAAGAACAATCATAAAATCACCGACTTACATTTATTTTTCTGTTTCGCATTACATTCATCACTTATTGCTTAGCTTAATCCGAACCTGAATTCTATAGTGTAGTTTACTTACTCCGTTGGGATTCGATAACCCCTTATACTACGATTACATTGCTGTGCACTTGCAGTTGTTTTATTTGGGTAAAACCTGAGCCCTATCAAGTTTTTGGCGCCGTTGCCGGGGAGTAATAGCTGCCTATCGATTTTTAGTATTCGGATTTTGTCTAAGTTTTTATTTGTTTACTTACTTTCTGCTACTTTTCTTTGTGCTGGTTTCAGGTGTATGATAATCGCAATACCAGTAGCAACAAAGAGAAGGAGTTTTTGACCTTGAGCATTGACGAGCTAGCTAAGTTGGAGAGGGCCATCAGGAAAGCTAAGAAACAGTCTACAATGGTTGCTCCACTTGTCTTGGTCGAAAATGCAGAGGGTCACTTGGTTGATAGAGATGGAAACAAGAGGAACGAAGAAAGGTAGAGACTGGATCAGGATGGCAATGTAATCGTTGAGCAAGTGGTTCAACACGCTGGGAATGGAGCTGGAGGCGCTGCTGGGCGTTTTGTACAGCAAACATTAGGAGACTACAACAGACCTGATCAGTTTTATGCCAAAAGAGCTGCAATCCGCCCTCCTGCATTCCAGAGGAATGATTTTGAGCTCAAGCCTACTTATTATCAGCTGGTGGGTCAGCATCCTTTTCATGGCTTACCTCATGAGCATCCTATGGATCATATTGAGAGGTTTGAGGATTTAGCTTCAAGTGTCAAGGCTACTGGAGTTAGCAATGGCTTCCTGTTTTGCAAGTTTTTCCCTTACTCAATTGGAGGAGATGCTGCTTATTGGTTGAAGCAACTGGAGCCTGGTTCGCTGACCACTTGGGAAGATGATAACAGGTTTTTTTGTGCAAGCAAAGGTATTATCAAAGCCCAAACCACCAGTTATGAAGTAGTATAGTAGTAAGGGAAATCAATCTAACCTAGGAAGCAGGAAGAACACTAAGAATGCAAGGATGAAGCAAATCTAAGCAAATCGGATAAATGATTGGTAAAATCAAGAAAAACTAAATGCAAGGATCTAATGGAACGCAGAACAATTTTAAAATCACTGGAAGAGGGTTAACTAACACTGAAAGAAAACAGAACAGCAAAAGAACAAATCTACTAAGAACTAAAAATCGAGCTGTGAATCGACCACTGGATCGACCACTGGATCGAGTAAAACAGACCAATCTAACAACTTAAAGCGAAATTTTTTATAATGATTAAGATGCTCTTCGATCTCTTTTAGTTACAAAGCTTGCATCTTGTTCATTAGAAGTCATTTGCTTTAAGTTGTTAGAATCAATCTGTTTGACCCGATTTAGCTCTTGATTTTTGGTTATTAGTAGATTTGCATTTTTAATCTTCTGTTTTCTCCTAGTAGTAGTAAACCCTCTTCCAGGGATTTTAAAATAGTTTTGCATCTCATTTGGTCATTGCATTTAGTTTTCTTTGATATTACCATCTATTTACCCGATTTGCTTTACCTTTGCATTCCTAGTGTTCTTCCTGCTTCCTAGGTTGGATCGATATCCTTACTGCTATACTACATCATTGTTGGGGTTTGGGATTTGATATTTCACCTTGCTAACATTCTGTTTATCAAATGGCGCCGTTACCATCATAGGATTGTTAGGAAGCATTAGGATTTGGGGTTTAGTAAAGACTAGGCCTTTACTTTAATTTTGGTTACTAATCTCTTTCTCTTCACACTTGTGTCTTTCAGGTACATGAATTTGCGCTCCAGGGGTGACAACAATCTACTTAAACCCCTGGACAATATTCACCAACTCTGAAGTTCAAGAGCAAGGAGAGTAAGAGAGCAAGCTCAAGCCTTTGAAGAGATTGTGCAAGC